ACGAGTCTAGGAGCACCCCCAGACTGCGAACACAGTCCTTAACAGAGAACGTGACTCCGTCCAGGACTGGAGGTTGCAACCCAATACCTGGTTTGGGGGCCCCTACTGTAAGTACCTCCGTTTTGTCTGGATTCAGCTTGAGTCAGCTTTTCCTCATCCAGTCCATTACTGCTTCAAGACATTGATTGAGGGGAGAACTGCCATCTGCCGTCATAGCAGCTGACCAAGACATGGAGAAATACATTTGGGTGTCATCAGCATATTGATAACACCCCGCCCCATGTCTCCTGATGATCTCCCCTGGCGGCTTCATGTAGATATTGAACAACATCGGGGACAGGATGGCGTCCTGTGGAACACCACATTTTAGCTTCTTTTTTGAGGCATGACTGTCCCCGAGTGACACCCTCTGGAACCTGCTTGAGAGGAAGGAGCAGAACCACGGGAATAGAGTGCCTCCGATTCCTAACTCTCTCAGGGGTTCCAAGAGGATGTCATGATCTATCCTATCAAAAGCCGCTGAGAGGTCCAAAAGCACCAACTGGGTCACACTTCCCCGTTGGTGCTCAGGATGACCATGGCAGTCTGCACCCCATAATCAGGTCTGAAGCCGGTTTGAAATGGACCTAGAAAATGTCAAGTTCATCCAAGATCACTTGGAGTTGAAAGGTGACGGCTCGCTCAATCATCTTGCTCAGACATGGTAAATGAGAGACTGGTCTGTAATTGTTCAGGTCCAGGGAAGGTTTCTTCAGGAACGGTCTGGAAGTAAGAAAAATAGGTAAAATGTGCAGGAAACCACTTGCAAAACCCCTGTTCTTGGCTGGCTGGGGTGAATGATAGAACCTTAGAATTGGAAGGGACCACAAAAGTACGGTTGCCATAATTTTCTTCCACAATACCAGGACAAAACACAGGGGAAATGTAGGACACAATGTAGGTCCTTGAGGGGAAAAATGGAGGACATGACCAACTAAAAACAAAAAACATTACTAAAATTAAACAAAAGATTAATATAAATTCATGCACCAGGCCCCAGCTGAAACCGGAGGGAGGTTTTGCCAACCGTGCCAGATTTCCTTGGCGCTCACCTGCCTTACTTGAACCCGGCACCTCCGCCATCCCCCAGCTGTCCAGCCTGGCTCCCAGGGACCATGGTGCCAACCACCACCACAAGAACCAACAGAGAGGCCTTGCCACGGTGGTGGTGGAGGCCCCACCCCGAGCCCCCCGAAACCCAGTGAAGCCCAACAAGGTAGCTAAGCCTCAAATGCAGCTACCGCCACTGCACCAAAAGCACGGCAGGAGATGGCGGAGGATGCAAAGGAGGATCCAGGAGCTGGGACTGGCTCCAAACCTGGGGACATTCACAAAGCGTTAAGAACTGTGAATGTCCCGGCAAAAACTGGGATATGGCAACCCTACACAAAGTCATCTAATCTG